CTGGATAAGAGCGTCTGCTAAATGACGTAAATGTAAATGTATATATAGCCTCCCTACTGTTATTTTATTTTACTTCTGCTCTTTTTTTCTCTTCCCAACACTTTTTTGTTTTATTCTATTTTCTTATAAAAAATAAATGCACTGTTGGTTAAGGGCTGTAAGTAAGCATTTCACTGTAATGTCTGCACCTGTTTTATTCGGTGCATGTGGCCAATACAATTTGATTTGATTTGATTTGATTTGATTTGATTAGCTCAATTGGTAGAGCATGGCGCTTGCAACGCCAGGGTAGTAGGTTCGATCCCCGGGACCACCCATACATAAAAATGAATGCACACATGACTGTAAGTTGCTTTGGATAAAAGCGTCTGCTAAATGGCATATTATTATTATTATTATTAATCAAGAGCATAGAGTTAGATTTCTTTGTTACTGGGCCAGGGATTGAATTGGGTCATTTCACTGTGTGTGTGTGGGGTTTGTGTATGTTTCAAGGATTTAGGGCCTTGTCATGTTTAAACTAAACATGAGTGTGTGTGCAAGACAGGGGAGTGAGTGATTGGTTGGAGTACTATGTGCATAATAAAAGTCGAGTTTAGCCGTCCTCAGAGACAAAGGAAGTGGGCGGAGCAATAAAAGAGCAGGAAACTGAAGAGGGGACTATATAAGATGGAGGGAGAGAGTAAGAGGGGGTTCCAATCTGCAGATTGACCTGGCTTTGTTGAATAAAAGTCATTCTTGATGCAACAAAAACTCTGTAAGACCTTTGATTTTTAATAAAGTATAGTGGTTATTTTCCACAACATTCTCTCTGCTACTGCATGGCAAGCGGTACCGAAGCATCAAGTCTGGAACCGACAGGACCCTGTACAGCTTCTACCCCCAAGCCAAAAGACTGCTAAATAGTTAACCAAAAAGCTACCTGGACTATCTGCATTGAACCTTTTTGCACTGACTCTTTTTGACTCTATGCACACATACACTGGACTCTACCCACACACTCACACATACTTACACTTACACTCCAACCCACACACACTTACACACGCATCACATTCGCTGCTGCTACTGTTTATCTATCCTGTTGCCTAGTCACTTTATCCCTACCTACTGTATATGCACAGTACATACAGAATATACCTCAATTATCTCGTACCTCTGCACATCGACTTGGTACTGGTACCCCGTGATATAGCCAAGTTATCGTTACTCAATGTGTATTTATTCCTTGTGTTATTATTTTTATATTATTATTATTATTTATTTAATTTTATTCTGCATTGTTGGGAATTTCACTGTTAGTCTACACCTGTTGTTTACGAAGCATGTGACCAATAACATTTGATTTAATTTGGCCCCACCTTGGTAATTAATTTCACAAATGTCATCACTGATCATTCATCATTGTTTTGGTCATGGTTGGTTCAATCAAATAGATGGGGATTGTGGTTGAAAATGGAGCAGCATGTTTATTAGTTATAAACAACACCATAGTTGGACCATCCTCATCTGATGAAAAGTGGGCCTCTCTGAAACACAGATTAAACAAACAGGAGTTTCCTGACAAAATCAAGAGCCTTTTAGGTGTGGCTTGGTTTGATGCTGGGGACAGAGAACTACAGGGTGTGGTACTGTTGTCTCCTGGCCTACTTTGGTGACTCTGACCCTTTCTTTACACTGTCTTTTACACACTGGTGAAAGTCTCCTCTTGAGAAACTCTCTTCCTGTGCATTGACAAGTTCTCATCAGCCCACATGCAACGGTTTCTCATGAACCTGAAAATGGGTACAGGATCTTAACTGACGTATGTAACCACTGTGAGCTCACTCTGTTTTGTTTCCTCTATTGACAAGAGCACAGTTATACAGTATTTTCTATACTGAACAAAAATTTAAACACAACATGTAAAGTGTTGGTCCCATGTTTCATGGGCTGAAATAAAAGATCCCAGAAATGTGTTTACATCCCTGTTAGTGAGCATTTCTCTTTTGCCAAGATAATCCATCCACCTGACAGGTGTAGTATATAAAGAAACGGATTAAACAGGATGATCCTTACACAGACGCACCTTGTGCTGGGGACAATAAAAGGCCACTCTAAAATGTGCAGTTTTGTCACACAATACAATGCCACAGATGTTCCAAGTTTTGAGGCAGCGTGCAATTGGCATGCTGACTGCAGGAATGTCCACCAGAGCTTTTGCCAGAGAATTGAATGTTAATTTCTCAACCATAAACCACCTCCAACGTCATTTTAGAGAATTTGGCAGTACGTCCAACCGGCCTCACAATCGCAGACCACGTGTAACCACGCCAGCCCAGGACCTCCACATCCGGCTTCTTCATCTGCGGAATCGTCTGAGACCAGCCACCCGGACAGATTATGAAACTGAGGAGTATTTCTGTCTGTAATAAACCCCCCTTCTGATTGGCTGGCTCCCCAGTGGGTGGGCCTGGCTCTCAAGTGAGTGGGCCTATGCCCTCCCAGGCCCACCCATGGCTGCGCCCCTGCCTAGTCACGTGAAATCCATAGATTAGGGCCTAATTAATTAATTTCAATTGACTGATTTCCTTAAATGAACTGTAACTCAGTCAAATCGCTGACATTGTTGCATGTTGCGTTTATGTTGTTGTTCAGTATATATTCCATGCACCTACTGTGTGTAATTATGTTGTTCTCTAGAGCGCATAAAAAGAACTCTGATGATTTAACCATATGTACTTTGGATGGTGTCCATATTGATGGTGTCCATATTGATGGTGTCCATATTGATGGTGTCCCTGCTTATAAATATCTGGGCATCTGGATAGATGAAAACTGCCTTTTAAAAATCATATTGATAAGTTAGTTAAGAAGCTGAGAAGACAAATGGGCTTCTTCTACAGAAATAGGTCCTGCCTCTCGCTAAATAGTAGAAAGCAAATTATTCAGTTGTCGTTCCTTTCAGTCCTAGACTATGGCGACATCATCTATATGAACACAGCTGCCACTTCATTAAAGCCGTTAGATGCAGTTTATCATAGCACACTGCACTTTATTATGGACAACAATTTTAGTGCTCATCACTGCATTCTCTACCAGAAAGTTGGTTGACCCTCTTTGATGTCACGTATGTTGATACATTGCTATGTTTTCATTTATAAAGCCCTATTACAAAAAGTCCCAATCTAACATCTTTACTAAACTTTTGACATACGAGTTACCACACCCGGTCTCAGGGATGGCTAACTCTGGAAATTCCTTTGGTCTCTACTGAGTTAGATAAATCAGCTTTTCATTTTCTTGCACCTTATTTGTGGAACAATCTTCAAAAAGTTCTTAAATTTGATGTTCTGGTTCCTCTAGGGCAATTCAGAAAGCTGATTGAGGACCTTATTACTGATGAATGTGTTTGTTTTTTTATGACCGGGTTTTTCTTTCTGCTTGCATTTTGTATTTATAATTTCTGTATTTTCTGTAATTTCTGAAATTCAGGGCTCATCTGTAAAAGAGACATTGGTCTCAGTATGACTCTCTGATACAATAAAGGTAAAAAAAGTAAATTAAATGAACTATAAGGTAATCAAAACGATATCATCATATGATACCCCAACGGAACAGATTGCAACACTGCATTAACTTATTTTAAAACTTCACAATCACTTACTCTAGGAGGCGACAGCACTACTACAATGAATTGTGTCAGAGTAGGTTGACATTTACATTTACGTCATTTAGCAGACGCTCTTATCCAGAGCGACTTACAAGTTGGTGCATTCAACTTATGATAGCCAGTGGGACAACCACTTTTTCCCCTTTTTTTTATGGGGGGGTGGGGGAGGGGGGGTACAAGGATTACTTTTACACTATTCCAGGTATTCCTTAAAGAGGTAGGGTTTCAAGTGTCTCCGGAAGGTGGTCAGTGACTCCGCTGTCCTGGCGTCGTGAGGGAGCTTGTACCACCATTGGGGTGCCAGAGCAGCGAATAGTTTTGACTGGGATGAGCGGGAACTGTGCTTCCATAGAGGTAGGGGGGCTAGCAGGCCAGAGGTGGATGAACGTAGTGCCCTCGTTTGGGTGTAGGGTCTGATCAAATCAAATCAAATCAAATCAAATCAAATTTTATTGGTCACATGCGCCGAATACAACAGGTGCAGACATTACAGTCAAATGCTTACTTACAGCCCTTAACCAACAGTGCATTTATTTTTAACAAAAAAAGTAAAAATAAAACAACAACAAAAAAAGTGTTGAGAAAAAAAGAGCAGAAGTAAAATAAAATAACAGTAGGGAGGCTATATATACAGGGGGGTACCGGTGCAGAGTCAATGTGCGGGGGCACCGGCTAGTTGAAGTAATATGTACATGTGAGCCTGAAGGTAAGGAGTTGCCGTTCCCCTCACAGCTCCGTAGGCAAGCACCATGGTTTTATAATAATATGCCATTTAGCAGACGCTTTTATCCAAAGCGACTTACAATACGCATACATTTTATTTTATTTATATTTATTTTTTTGTATGGGTGGTCCCAGGGATCGAACCCACTACCTTGGCGTTACAAGCGCCGTGCTCTACCAGCTGAGCTACAGAGGACCACAGTTTTGACCTCTTGTGACTGGTATAAAACAAATGACCTCACATATGCATAGGTTATTACATGTATTTGTAATAATGTATGTGCTCAATCCAAATATACAAATGAATATACCTGCAATGCTGTAATATTTACTGTAGATAAATCTGGTATCTGTGAACCTTGTGGGAGTGAGTTCAGACCGCAGACAGTGGTGAACATACACATTCATTTAGATTTGGTATATCAAAGAAAGTAATTCAGGTCTGAAAAACATTTCTGGGAAATGTAGTTGCTTCACAAAGAAAGAGCTGAGCACGTCATTTCCTCCAATGACAAATGCATGGTTTCAGTCTTTTAAAAGTTTTTCAGGGGAGTGATCATGACTAGTCTGTGTCTGACACTTGGCCTGTGTCACTGTATGGGAAATGAGTGGTCATGTAAAGAATATGTGTCCTCAGCTGTCCATATCACAAGCAGCAAGAAGTAAGTAAAATACAATTTTAAAACCATTATTGCGATATTTCATATACTGTGAATAACTATATATTCAACCATCTGGATACTGTAATTTACTTGCTGTAATGTCACCAGTATCAATGTGCAGACATTGAATGAATGATGCTGTGCACATGATTGGATATTGATTTTTGTTTTTGTGTATGAATGATTGTACTCAGTGCACAGCTACAAACTTAGTATATTTCCACTCAACTTTTATTGTGTCCTGTTACCACAGCTACTTATCGCAACATATATATTTCAGAACTTCTTCATACTTCTAATTTAGATTGTCATGTAACAATGCTAAGGTCTGTGATATAGGTGTTAGTGTCATGATTTTAATTGTCTCACCTTGATCCTCAGCATTGCTCTCTCTGTTACTGGTTGCTGCCATTGATTCAGTTAGTGCTGGAGTAGTATGTAGGAAGCAACCGTGTGGGAGTTCCCTACAAAGAAGTTTGAAGCTAACCAAACTCATACACAAGGAATCTGTGGACCTCTTAAAAACATACGTAAGTAGAAAATTCAAGGCATAATATTGTCCAGTATTATAGCCTCATGTAGCATGCATATGAAGGAATCATGCCCAGTCTAATGGGAAATGTAAAACTACTTTTAAGCTACATTATGGCCAAATCATAATGGATTATAAGCTACCTGTTGGCTTTTGTAAAAGTGCTACCAAGAACTTCTACTAATTTGATATTTTTTTCATTGATATCCAGAAGGTCAGTCAAGGAGACATGTCAGAGCTGTTCTGCCAGATGTCAATCAACAACGTTCCTGACCCAAACATCTCTGGCCTTGATCCCTCAGAGCGGATGTTGAGCATCTACTCCCACTGTAAGGCTTTCCTACCACACCTGAAGAGGGTCACTGAGCAACAGACAGACTTACAGCCACCCTCCAGCGCACTGCTGAGCAAACTCTCTACTGCCCAGAACCGCACCAATGGTCTGGCCAATCAAATAAACTGCATTTACCAAACCTTCTTTCCAAACCTGCCCATCCCACCTGAACCTGTAGACGGACCGACTTCAGTACCCCCCTCCCAGAACGTGTTCCAGCAGAAGGTCTATGGCTGTGTGGTTCTAAAGAGATTCAAGGAGTTCCTGTCACGGGTCACACGTGAATTAAGGACCCTAAAGAGCCAAGTGTGCACTAGGAGGACATCATTTGCAGACACAAATGCACTGTTCTGAGGCCGACTTCCTATTTATTTTATTTATTATTTATTGTACACTTGTTTAGAACTTATGGAAGCTTATTGCTGCCACTGAAAAAAAACTGGCCGGCCAATATTTTTCAGTGGCAGCAATAATTCACTTGGCATACTACGTCATTTCAACATCGTCATTTGTGTAATATTTGGTTGTGACGTTCAATCTTTAATCATCCACTCAAAAAGACAGCCAGAAGTTGGTTGAATTCCCAATGTGTTATCGATATGCCTTCAACCATCTAAAAGCGCAACCAAATTCCAATGAAAAACAGATTATACTTTTTTTGTCATCTAAATGTGTTATCGCTGCACTTTCAACTATTTAAAAGCACAACAAAGCTCAAATGGGAATAAAATGTCAGATATTTTGTATTTATGCAACAACTTAATGTGTTATCACTGTGCTTCATCTAATAGCACAACCAAATGACCTGTATTGCAGTTGAGATTACATTAAAAGTACATAGTGCAAGTGATTGATGCTGTTTGAGATTCTGTGCAGATTATAATAGCAATTGTGAAGATCTCCACAGACCTGGGATCTTTGCATGCTATCTTGAACATGAATGCTTTCTATGATTATAGAAGACATTTATAGTTAGAGTAACCTCAACGTGGCCATGGGTGTGTTACTCATTTTAAGGTTGAATAAATACTGTTACATTAGTTTGTAAGACAGCCTTACATTTGGGCTATATACTGTATTGCAAAAGTCACACAACCAAATATCAGCATTTGAAGGAGATGTATCTTCTGCTTGGATAGTTCCATCTGTGCCACCGACTTAGTATGGCTTTAACTCCAGTTTGTCTACAAATTAATAATTTATATGTTGGATTCACGTCTCCATCTAAACCAAAAATCTAAGTTAAAGAATAGGACTACATAAAATCAAACTGCACAGATGGATCTATCCAAGCAGAATATACATCTTCTTACAATGTTGATATTTGGTTGTGTTGACAACTAAACACAATTTAATATCCAGTTTGTCTACAAATTAATAATTGATATGTTGGATTCACACACCATCTCAACCAACAATCTAAGTGAAAGAATTGGATTAAATCAAATAAAATCAAACTTAAATGCATTTTAAATCAGCTGAGCTACAGAGTGGTCCTCTGTAGCTCAGCTGGTAAAGCACGGCGCTTGTAACGCTAAGGTAGTGGGTTTGATCCCCGGGACCACCCATACACAAAAAAAGATGTATGCACGCATGACTGTAAGTCGCTTTGGATAAAAGCGTCTGCTAAATGGCATATTATTATAATAAATTTGACCTGATTAAGTCCTATTCTTTAACTTAAATTTTTGGTTGAGATGGAGACGTGAATCCAACATATGAATTATTGACTTGAAGATTCAATTTGAAATCAACCAAAGCTTGAAACCCTAGGTGTATATGTATTGTCTATTTTTAGTTGAACCCTTGGTTGAATTTAAACAATAGCTGTTGATGACTTCACAAATTCTATACACTGAGTGTACAAAACATTAAGAACACTTTCAATTCGTCGGGGCATGGACTCTACAACATTCTTAATGTTTTGTACGCTCAGTGTATATAGGCCTAAATAGTGTCATTGGTGATATACACTGAGTGTACAAAACATTAGGAACACCTTCTCTTTCCATGACATAGACTGACCAGGTGAATCCAGATTAAAGCTATGATCCCTTATTGACGTCACTTGCTAAATCCACTTCAATCAGTGTAGTTGAAGGGGAGGAGACAGGTTAAAGAAGGATTTTTAAGCCTTGAGACAATTGAGACATGGATTGTGTATGTGTGCCATTCAGAGGGTGAATGGGCAAGACAAAATATTTAAGTGTCTTTGAATGGGGTATGGTAGCAAGTGCCAGGCACACCGGTTGGAGTGTGTCAAGAACAGCAACGCTGCTGGGTTTTTCACACTCAACAGTTTCCCTTGCGTATCAAGAATGGTCCACCACCCAAAGGACACCCAGCCAAACTTGACACAACTGTGGGAAGCATTGGAGTCAACATGGGCCAGCATCCCTGTGGAACACTTTCGACACCGTGTAGAGTACATGCCCCGACGAATTGAGGCTGTTCTGAGGGCAAAAGGGGGTGCAACTCAATATTAGCAAGGTGTTCCTAATGTTTTGTACACTCAGTGTATGACAAAGGTACAAATTCAACATATTTTACACAAGGTTTGTCTATGTTGAAAATTGGTTACCATGATGACATAATCCTGTGGTTGAAATTTCACCCTCAAAACAACAGTTAATGTTGATTACATTTTTCAAATCGAATGTATTTTCCATGTTGAACCCACGTCACAATACGTTGACAAATTACGTTGAAACAACGTTGATTCAACCAGTTTGTGCCAAGTGGGAAGCTTCCGTTGGGAGTAATATAAACTTTGACTAACATATGTAGTTATATTATTTGTGTGGAGAATGTATTAACTTGTGTTAATATTGCCCTGCAGTATTATTGTAAATACTGTGAGATTTTAAAATGAATGTCTTTTGTCAAATCTGAGTCACTTTTATAGTTTTGTAAGCTAATTTCACTTAATGTTTTTCGCAGGCTGTGCTCAAGTAAAGTCTGTGATATTAACTTTAGACTGCAAAACTTCAACACAGTAGTCCGAACATGAGAGATTGTTCTAAACCAGGAAGCAATTGAGACACTGAGTCTGTGATCTCATCTCACAATGACGCATGTCTTGAAGACAGCACAGCATCTGATAGGAAAGATTTTGTGAAACTGGCGGGCTTCTGTCTGGCCAGTCACAAGGTGTGGGTGTGTATGGGTCAGATTATCTGTGTGTTCTGGGGTGATGTGTTCACATAGATGTAATGGTTAATTGCATCACACCATATAAGGCACATCTGTACTGGCACGCAATACAAGAGTTTATATTATTATTCAAACATTCTATATCAAACTAATTATCAATAGACTGTCAGTTTACTTTATCAGGTGCCAATTACAACCAAAGTATGTTGCGTGAGTGTTACTTGGGTGGATAAAGGTTGTTAAGTAAATGTGTTTGCAGTTGACACATGAATGAATGTAACTGATAGTTTGGTAACAGTGAGCATCTGTCGAAAACAATCCGAAAAAGCAGTATAGACAAATGCCATCAGAAATATTCTAGGCTTTCCTTAGATCACGAGCTCATGCAAAACTGGAAGTTGAGGAGGGATACACTCTAGGTCATGAATCAAGTTCCCTGTTTTAACCCAGAACTTTATTTAAAGAGACAAGTGGCTAAGTCTGGGCAACAAATCCTAAAACGTTACTGGAATAAAAGGTCATTAACACAGATTCCCTTTGTGATGGAAACAGACTTGATAATCATCATTATTTAGGTGAACCTAAGCACTAACTAGCTTTCTATTTATTATGTTATTTTCTATATCCAAAATGAGGCAAAAAGTCATATATATACAGGGAAAATGGGAGGATGATAAAAGCTGCTACAGTCAGCTAAAAGTCACTCAGCTCACAAGGAACAGACAGAGAAAAACTCCCTTCAGATACATTTGGCAAATTTTATGGGAGAACCAGGAAGTCTGCAGGAGTATTCTCCTTTGGGAGAGTTGTTCATGTAAATGTAATGTACTGTGCTGAAAACTACAAATAAAACCAAATTACAGTCAACTATGGTAAATCCCTGCTCATTTACAAGAATGCACACAATACAATTAGGTCAGTATGTTCAAGTTCAACTTTCAACTTTCAACTTTATTGTCCCAGAGGGCATTTGGTTTTGCAGCAAAGGAGGATAAAAAACAACATTGAACATACAGTATAAAATCCACATGGATCACAATGACACACAGTTATAGTGAATACAATGGTCTAGCTAGTCCATCAAGTCATAGGGCTCACAGCCATCAATACTAATATATAGAGTAGTCCTACTAGTGATCCACATTAGCAGCAGCACAAAAGTAAAGCAAGCCAAAGTTGCCTAATAAGTAAAGTGCTCTGTGCAATCTTAGGTCATCTCGTCAACAACATATCATCAATGTGCTGACAAAAACCAAAAAACATTAACGGCAACATCACCTTCATCATCATCAACAACATATTACCATTGTCATCCTTAACATCACCCCTACCTCCTTATCTTCCCTGTATTCAAAAGGGCAATGGCCATAAGGGAGTGCTTGTACCCTGTTAGTCTTAACAGTGGGGAATCTATTTTAATGGGTGACTTTCACTTTTACTTGAGTAACTTTCTATTAAGGTATCTATACTTTTACTCAAGTATGACAATTAGGTACTTTTTCCACCACTGGTGTAGAGGATGGGCACAGTCAGACAGGATGGATTCTGCCTTCTTCACCACTTATCTGTTCTGTTGTACAGGTGAGACAGACTACTCTGCTGGACTTCTGCGATCTTACTGCCCACTTTCACTATTCTAGCTAGGGCATGTTTTGCTTTTACACCAAGGTTGCCGTAGCAGCAAATCAAATTTTAAGACAAGACTCTATGAATGACATAAAACAGAGTCATCAAGGCCCTGTCTACCTGGAACTTTGCCAGTTTCCTGAGACAGAAAAGGTGTTGCTGGCCCTTCTTACACAACATGTCAGTGTTACACTCAAAGTTCACTTTATTGTCAATCAATGTGCCAAGATACTTGTAGTTGTCTACACTGTCTACCACCTGGCCTTTGATGATAGTGTTCTGAGGGTAGGGGATTGATGCCTGAAATTCATACACCTATCTTTGTTTTTTGTCACATTCAACTGTAAGAATGCACTGTCACAGCAATGTACAAAATCATCAACAACAGGGGCCATGGGAAAATTCATTGGACTGAAGGAGACTGACTATTACAGAGTCGTCCCCAAACTTCAGGATGTGTCGGTTCTCGTACTGGCTACGTCAATCATAAGTGTACAGGATATAGAGGAGTGGTGAGAGGACACAACCCTGGGTTGAGCCTGTTGACGATGACAGCTCCCCTGACAGTCACCCAT